CTTATAATGTTGCCCACACTGCAGCGCAGCCCAAGCGCAGTCGCTGCTTACTGCGCAGTTAGCAGAGCGCGTTCTAATACGTAGATGTGTATGTACGTGTGCCGAAAAGAAGTGCAGAGTGATTAGAATATCAGATTAGAGGGTTCAGGGTATCTCCTAGTCGAGCAGTCTCGACTAGAGTCTTCTTACTTGTTTATAAATATATTATACACTGGCCCATCGAAGGACCAGACTCCTTTTGGAAGGGCATTTTTGGCGCCCCCGGGTGGACACTCTCTGGAATTGAAGGAAGCTGGATTATGAATTTTGTGGATAATCAGGGAAGTACATAAATACATAGAGCACATAGATGACCAAGTAATGCAAGCGATAAATAAATAAATGCATTACTTGAGACATACAAAATATTAATGTATGTACAATCTACGCCTATGTACATTGTGTTGAGCTTATTTCAAATTGAAATTAAAAAAAAAAAATAAAAAAATACAAATAAAAATAATAATAATAAGGTGCATATTGTAATTGCAAATAATGACCTTTGATCTGCAAATAATTCAATCTCTGTTGCCTCGCATAATCCAAGTTTTCTTTGGCGCCGTTAATGTGTTACAGTTTTTTTGCTCATTTTCGTCTCGCACTTTCGTTTTGCGCTTGCGCTCACAGCTCGCTCTCGCTCGCACATAAAAGTTCGTTCTCGCTTGCACAGATAATTGCGCTCTTAATTTACGCTCTTCATTTGCATGCGCGCTTGCAATATCGCTTGCACTTATAGTTGCGCTCTCGTTTTTACTGTCTCGCTTGCACATATTAGTGCGCGCTCATTTTGCGCTCATTGCATACTCACTTGCTATATCGTTTGCACTCGCGCTTACACAGTAAATTTCGCTTTAATTTACGCTCATCATTTGCATGCGCGCTTGCAATATCGTTTGCACCCACGCTTGCACACGCAGCAGCGCTCTCGCTTTGCGCTCAAAACTTGCGCTCGTCACTTGGATATATTCTCGCTCAAAACTTGCACTCTCGCTTTGCGCTCATCGTATGAGCTCGATCTGCACTTATATTTTGGCATTCATACCGGCGCGCTCTCGCTTGTGAATGCATTGCACTCAGTCGCTCTACAGTCAAATATCACTCAATAGACCACTTGCCCAAATAGTCACTCAACATTTTGGTTATTGTCTTCGCTATATCGTTATAAGCTGTCTGTAACAGTCACTCAAGTATAGTTTAACACTGCCAGCGTAATATATTGAGATTTATTACGATCGCGCGCATTTGTTAATATTCTTGACTTGCTCTTCGCTTGTTGTCATACATTAAGTGAATTTTTATTTCTTTCGATTGAAATTGGTTTCAACTGAGCTTCACTTATAGCATCATGACTAATAAGCGAGGATAGGTCTATGGACGAGTCATCAACGGAGCGTGTCAAAGCTCTGTTGGCCGTTTACAAAAATGTTACAAACGATATAACACGCATTAATAAATCATTAAAAGATTACACTAGAACACATAGAAAAGGCCTTTAAGACACAACAAGATTTTGACGACATTAACGCAGATTTAGTGCCTCGGTCAACGTTAGAAGATTTGTGTGTATCAACCAAAGCACTTCTTATGAAGCGAGGTAGTGATAGCCAACCTAAAATTGAGAGTCCCGCTAACTCTACAATGATTAGCTCAGTGTCACACTCTAGGAATCTACCGAATATAAAGCTGCCAAAGTTTAGCGGAGAATATTCGGAATATAAGAATTTCATTGGACTTTTTGAGAGTTTAGTCGACAACGAGCCAGGGTTATCAAATATAGAAAAGTTTAATCACTTGTTGTCATGCTTGGACAAAGAAGCATTAGGCACTGTCAAGGCATATCAGGTGACAGATGCAAATTACCCAAAAGCGTTAGCTGCTTTAAAAAATGTGTACGACAATCAGTGTCTCATATTTTTTAACAGCATTTCAAAACTATTTGATCTCCCACACATGTCCGAACCGTCAGCATCATCTTTGAGCTTGCTGATAGACTCAGTCCGTGCCTTTACGAATCTCTATTATCGCTAGGATCTGATAAGCAGATTTCGAATGCCATGCTCATCCATTTAGTAATGATGAAAGCGGACGCTGGCACGCGCTCTAGGTGGGAAGAGAATCTTGACTACAAAAAGCTTCCATTGTGGCAAGATTGTGAAGCTGCCTTGAAGACTCATCTGGTCCACGTCGTAAGGTAGCTCAGGATAATAGGAAAAGAATTGGGAAAACTTCACTAGCTGTCGCTCTGCCCAGTGAGCCGCAGAGTCCCAAATGCGTGTTTTGTAAAAAGAACGATCACTTCATTCACTCGTGCTCGTCGTTCGCAGCAATACCTTGCCAGAAACGTTTTACGTTCGCAAAGAGCTATCCGCTCTGTATAAATTGTTTGCGAACAGGACACTCAGTGGCTGCTTGCAAATCAGGCCACTGTCGTGTGTGTTCTAAGCCGCACCATACCATACTGCATAGATACAGCTCTGAAGCGGCTCAAAGTAGCTCAGCAGCTGTATCAGCAGTCCCTCGTGTCACTTCGTCACAGATTTCATCTGTAAATCACGCACGGATAGCCTCTGATCAAGTTCTTTTGGAAACTGCAGTTGTGAAGATAAAAGATCAATCTGGATCTTATCACTTAGCTAGAGCTTTATTAGATTCCGGCTCGCAAGTTAATTTCATAACTGAAGAACTTGCAAAACAGTTGAAATTATAACGGCAAAGATCTGGGATTCAATTGTTGGGCATTGCTAATTGTCAGTCATCTGTTCGGCACAGCGTTCAAACTTCAATAGCGTCCCGAACGGACGACATAGAAATCCGAACAGACTTTGGTGTGTTACGTTCCATTTCGTCGTATCAACCAGAGAAGCACACTGAAGAGATCAAGGTACCTAATAATGTACAATTAGCTGATCCTCAATTCCACAAGCCGCAACGTATTGATTTGTTGCTCGGTGCTGATATCTTTTTTGATATATTAAGAGAAGGCAAAATAAAAGGACCCGATAACAACCCAACATTGCAATTGACTGCCTTTGGTTGGATTGTATCTGGTCGCTGCCGAACATTGAATGCAGCTACTAGTTCGTCGACTTTCATTAGCGTCGTAAACGACGACATAGCTATAGATTCAATAGTTCGCTAGTTCTGGGAGTTGGAAGAAAAGCCAAATACAATTAATTCGAATTTGTATACCCCAGAGCAACAACTGTGCGAGAAGTCATTTGTGGAGACTATTTGCCAAACTACCTCGGGTCGTTTCAGAGTGTCGCTGCCATTCAAATCAAGCCCACATTGTCTTGGTACGTCTTATGACACAGCCAAGCGACGATTCCTGGCCTTGGAAAGAAGAATGAGCAAGCAAGAAGACATTCGGCCAATGTACATTGACTTTATGAAAGAATACTTGGCCTTGGGTCACATGAGCCCAACTAACAATCAAATTCCGAGAGAGCCGCATTATTTCATCCCATATCAATGCGTGCTAAGACCGCACAGCTCATCCACTAAACTTCGAGTAGTGTTTGATGCCTCTAGCAAGTCCTCCTCTCAATTGTCGCTGAATGATCTACTCATGGTGGGTCCGACCATCCAGCCGCAGTTATGAGAGACTTTGCTAAGATTTCGACTTCGTCCTTGGGCTGCTACAGCAGACATCGCTAAAATGTACCGTCAAATTGAACTTGACGAGTCCCACCGCAACTTTCAACTTATTGTGTGGAGGGAAACGCCCACTGATCCGTTACAAATCTTTCGATTAAACACAGTAACGTACGGGACAGCGACTGCTCCATTCTTAGCAATTCGATGTTTAAAACATCTAAGCGACTTGCATGCTTCCACTCATCCAGCTGCTGCAAGATCGTTAGCCCGAGATTTCTATGTTGATGACTTGTTGACAGGAGCAGATAGCGTTGAAGAATTGTGCTTGTTGCATCGAGACTTGATAGCAATTCTTCAAAAGTTTGGATTTCCTCTCACGAAATGGTCGTCAAATTGTAAACAACTCGCAGCACAACCAGCTAGAAAGGATATAGTTATTGGTCATCAAGAGGACACAAAAACATTGGGATTAATTTGGAATCCAATGAATGACAACTTTAGATATTCCATGAACTGTCCAGTGGAAGTTCAACAGACCAAAAGATCCGTTTTGTCATTTGTAGCAAAGTTATACGACCCCTTAGGTTTGTTAAGTCCGATCGTAACTCGTGCGAAGGTCCTTTTACAGGAAATGTGGTTGCACAAACTTGGGTGGGATGACCAATTGCCTGTTCAAATGAGGCAAGAATTTGAGGCAGTACCTAGCTGTTTCTCAAATCTAAACTCGTTGCATATACCTCGTTACGTTGGCACACTTAAATCGAAAGGATGTCAAATCCATGGATTTGCTGACGCCTCAACGAGAGCTTACGGTTGTTGTTTATACGTAAGAATGCAAACAGATAAGGGTATCACTACCAGGCTGCTAGTCGCCAAATCTAAGGTAGCGCCCTTGAAAACAAAATCTGTTCCGCGGCTGGAGTTGTGTGCTGCAGAATTGTTAGCTACCTTATGGGATGCGGTTAAGAAAGTACTTGGTGGTCCTATTAATCAAGTCACATTTTGGTCAGACTCTGAGGTGGTGCTTCATTGGCTGCGAATGCATTCATCTAGCTTGAACACATTCGTTGCTAATCGCATTGCAACCATCCAAGAGTTGACAACTAATGTATCTTGGCGTCATGTACCAACGAAAGACAACCCAGCAGATATTGTATCTCGGGGATGTTCAGTTGAGGAGCTTAAAACATCATTGTGGTTTTGCGGACCAGGATTTTTAAAGCTTTCTGACACATTGTGGCCAGCCAACCCACAAATCACCCTATCAAAGGAGTTAGAGCTGCTAGAGAAGCGTAGAACTGCAATTACTATGATCGCGCTATGAATCAACGTCATAATTTTCTAAGCTAATCCGCATCGTTGCCTATATGTTCCGCTTTATCAATTGAAAACAAGAAAGTCATTCTTCACTTGTTCCTACAGCTTCTGAGTTAAGCTTCGCATTCCTTGCAGTTATATCTGTAATTCAACACATTGAATTCAGCGAAGAAATAAAGAAAATAAAGAAGTCAGTCGTGTTGCAACCGTCATTGCAAAAACTGACACCGTTTTTGCACCCACATCAGCATGGCAGGCGTATGTTATGGTTGCTACGAGTAGGAGGTCGTTTATTGAAGGCACCATTAGCATTCCCATTATTGCTTCCAAAAAAGTGTCGTTTCGTAACGCTTTATTTGGAGCATTTGCATCGCTCTCATTGCCACGCCAATCCCCTAGTACTAATGGGCCTGCTTCGTCAGCAGGTTTGGCTGGTCAATGCTCGACAGGCTTGCAGTGCAGTAGTCCGAAAATGTGTACATTGTTTTCGCTACAAGCCGAAACTCTTATCCCAAGTAATGGGCAATCTTCCCGCTGATCGCTTACATGGAAATAGGCCATTTGAGATCAGTGGAGTGGACTTTTGCGGTCCAATACTAGTTTCGCTGGGAATTCGGGGCAAATCGCCAGTCAAAATGTATATTGCCATATTTGTTTGCTTTACTTCGAAGGCAGTGCATCTTGAATTAGTCACCGATTTAACCTCAAATTCATTTCTGATGTGTTTATCCAGGTTCGTTGGTCGACGTGGGCTTGTCCGGAAGCTGTATTGCGACAATGCCACCAATTTCGTGGGTGCTCAAAACTACGTTCCATGGCAACACAGCGGACATGGAAATGTTTGCTGCGGAGCGGGGCATGGAGTTTGTGTTCATCCCTCCTCGAGCGCCGCATTTTGGCGGCCTTTGGGAAGCGGCGGTGAAATCTGCCAAGGGTTTGCTGCTGAAAGCGATGGGCAGCGCTCGATTACGGCAAGACGAGGTGGCCACCGTGCTGGTCGAGGTCGAGGCCGTGCTCAATTCGCGGCCAATGGTCGCTCCCAGCAGCAACCCAAACGACGGCGAAGTGCTCACGCCAGGGCACTTCCTGATAGGAGCAACGCTCGTGCCGCTGCCAATCGCGTCCACAGAGCCAGTCGACGACGCCAAGCTGACACTCTTAAAAAGATGGCAGCTGACATCCAACATCAAGCGTCGATTTTGGAACGACTGGTCAAGGGACTACCTGCTCAGCCTGCAGCAGAAGTCAAAATGGACGAAGGAGAGGCAGAACGTACAGGTCGGAGCAGTCGTGCTCGTGGGAGAGGACAACGCTCCTCCACAACAGTGGATGCTAGGCGTGGTGACGGAAGCCATAGTCGGAGGAGATGGTAGAGTGCGCGTAATTGTCGTTAAGACAAAAAATGGCACATATAAAAGGGCAATTCATCGCGTTGCACCACTGCCACTCCACTAATACACCATATTATTGAAGCACTGCGGCCTTTCAACGCGGCCGATGTTAAGGCATTTGGATATTTGCCCTCTGAATTATTATTATATTATATATATTATTATATTATATTATATACTAGCAGTCCCAGCAAGCGTTGCATTGCCCTACCCTTATTTCTAGGTAAAAAATGATTAAAAGGTATGTTGTTCAGGTTGGGATACACTCTAATTAATTTATTAATCAGATTTTCATTCAAGCACCTTGTGGTAAACGACATTCTTCGTCAGAATTTTCACGAATCATCAAACGATATGCGTAATAATTCATAGAACTAACCTTCTTGCCAGTTTCCTCACCTGAAACAAATGCAGTAAAAATTGTATTTTAGAGCCCCTAATAGGTTTACGACTCTTACAGCTACTCTCTACTAAATTAAGAGTGATAACTTTTTTTGTGTACCAAAAGCAAACAGAATAAAATGTATATATAAAGTTAAAATGAAAACAATGATTGATCTTACCATTCAATGGATTTATCATTTTGATATTAAAGTGATATCCATCGTCTCCTTGCCAAAACATCAGCGGGTATTGTAAAGCGTCATATGAACGGTGCGTTTCAGATATTCTTTGTAGTTGCGCAGCACTGCGTCGTGTAAGCACAATATCGCGTGCTTCCAAGCTTTCACCAACAATCAGGATTGCCACTTCATCGATTGTTGGAGCATTAAATGTGCGTTCATGTGTTCCAGCTGGTCTTTTATCTGCTCTGATTACTATTTTATAGTCATCTCTTGGCATGCGCTCTAAAGCGGTCTTGAACAACTTGACCAATGCATGATGTTCATGAAGCATTTGCTGCAAATCTTGGAGAATTGCTCTTTTCATCGCAGTGTTGATTTCTTGGCGCCGATCAAGTTGCTCTTCCATATTGCCCATGAAGTATATTTGCAAGAATTTGTGCTGTTCATCTTCAATAGGTTGCAATGATCCAATGCGATGGCAAATCTGGCCTTGAATCTTTACATTCAAAGCCATAGTTATAGTTAGATTTACAAACACTTTTTACAGAAATCTAACCAACTACATTATCCCAAATAAGAAAATAAAATTTTTAACGTAAATTACCTTAAATGTCGGATTATATCCGTGTTCTTCAATAATTTCCGCCCCAAATGAAGTCATTTGGAAACAGGCATTGTATTTTTGAGTGTTCGCTAGAAAATGTCGTGATTCTAGTGTTTCGCCATAAAGCAGGGAACGCAATGGCTCTGGTGGCGAGACCACTAATGGCAATGTCACTTTACCACTAAGGCAGCACAAACCGGGCGTTTCACCAGCAAACTTCAATGCGCCACAATGCTGGCAAACAACGTCCATTGGACCAATGCAAACTAAACGATTCAAGCTGTAGTCAATGGTACAATCATATCGAAACGCTGCTCGATTCAAATCAATCCTTGAACCATTTCTTATTGCCGTTTCACGGGCTGCCTCTCTTTGAGAAGCACGAATTAAGGCCCTTCTTTGCTGGGTACTAACGCGGCGCCTTTCTCGTTCTTCGTCAGATAATTGACTCGCGGTATTCCGTAGCCTAATTGCATTATGGGTCCGCTGGGAAAGATTAGATCTTCTAGGACGCGGCATTTTCATTAATAGTAATACTGAATATGCACAATCGCACAAAACCACATAAAATATCGAGAAATCGAGAAATATAAATAAAAATTATTTACAAAAATAATGTCGAGAAATACAAATATAAATTATTTACAAAAATAATGTCTGAGAAAAACAAATTCAACAATACCTACCTGAACTTTCGAGATATTTTGCTTTTGTCCGTATGCGTATTGTTTTTCAAAATTTTTTTTTTTAACAAATGTGCTTTTTTATGAATAGTCAGGTTCGCCTGAGGCTGTGCCGTAGACTGACTGACTACATTTGTTTATTTACTTCTACACTATTGTCAAAACTGTCACTGTTACCAAGCCTACTGGGTATAAAAAAAATTTGAACATTTGGGGAAAAAACCGCGTTTTTCAAGTATTCGGCAAATTTTTTCAGTATTTTTAAGACCCTATACTAAACTCGTTGCGGAGACAAATCCAACAAATCAAAAACCATGAAAATTGGTTCAGCCCAAATCAAGTTATAAGCAGTCTTCACTTTTACACAACTTTCTTTTATATATATAGATTGTTATATATATAATTACATTTTTAAACAATGCGGTTAGTTAAATAGAAAGATAACTTTATTTTAATAGCATTGGAGTTGAACAAGTTTATTCTCGTGATGCAGATTTACAACTAACTCTAATTCTAAGCTTACTATGCAATGCGTCGGCGTTGGCAGCTATAAAGCTCCAGCATCGGATGACATTGCCGTTACAAAGCTCTAGGTGGCCTGATCATGCAGTTACCTTTCTTGTAAATGCTTTAAGTGGCGTGATTCTGCCGTAACTTCGCTTGCGAGCTTTGAGAGTCGTAAGATTAAGCTACAGAGTGGCTTAAGAGAGATTATAAGAGAAATTATGTATGCATACCAAATACTCTAATTTGTTGGAGTATGATGAATACGTAACTCCTCCAACCCGAGAATGTAGCCTGTCCTCAGGCGGTACACTTGAAGTATTACCATTCTACAACCTTTTTGTATCTTGAATTAGTTAACAATTAAGTGGACTTAATTCTAACAATTCATCTTTTTTAGTATTAAATTTATGATTTTTTTTTTTCAATATTGATTAACATACTTAGTACAAATATAGTGTGACTAACAATTCGTTTTTTTTCGCTATTTGGTTTTTTTTGTTTTTTTTTTTTGTATTCTTTGCTATTTTTCTAATATTAGGTATTAATATTTCGGATTATTTTAGATGTTCAAATATCAATTCTGAAAAGGTAATGTTAGGTTAAATAAATTGTTCAAAATGTTTTAATGATAGTAATAGCTCAAAAATGTTGGTGGGTTTATTTTATCTATTTTTTTTTTTTTTTTATTGATATGTGGAGTAGGGATATGTGGAATCAATTGTCATCAGTATGAGTCATACAAACAAGTTCAGGAGGCCTGGTGTGATAGTTAGAGTCATTAATAACCTTCTTACGCATAAATTGATTTTTATGATGAATAAACTCCCTTCCTCTGTTTAATTCGCTAAAGTGTTTCTCGTCAACAGCCTTAATTTTGGCAGTTTTCTTGAATGGGTTTTGAAGTTTGCCTTTCAATATTGGTGCTTTTTTATATTTTGTATTGACTTCAAAAGATTTTCTATTTTCGTTGACTTTATTAATTTTTTGTGTTTTTAAGATTTGATTACTGTATGCAGGGGTACCTGCAAAAATAAACAAATGGGCTGGTGTTCTACCTGTGCTATTGTGTTTAATTTTATGATTATAAATGAATAGGATAGTTTCGATTTTCATCTGCTTTTCTTCAACGTAAGTATCAGTATTTATTATTCTAATACGCTCGTTTAAGGTTTTGTGAAATCGTTCAATGTCCGCAACCCCTGTCTTTGTTGATGCTAATTCTAATTTAACCTCCTCCGAAGTCAACCATTGTTTAATTGCGTTACTTGTGAAAGCTGAGTCTCTGTCTGCTTTGAGTGTTATCGGCTTGCCCATTTGAGTAAATACTTGTAATAGTGCACGTTTGGCTTCCAGCCAGTCACGGCTTTTCACTTGTACTAACATGACAAATTTTGAATAAATGTCGATACATGTTAGATAAGTTTTATTCTCTGAAATATAAAAGTCTATCATAAATATTTCGCGAGGGTTGAATACTTCTGGTGTTAATTCAAATGGGGCGTTTGTATTTCTGTGTTCTGTTTTCGACAATTGGCAAACGTCGCATTGATTAATAATGTTTTGTATCAATTTACCAGAATCTGGGAAATAATAACTTTCTTTGAAAAGTCTTAACATTTTTTCTATGCCAGGGTGGATAAGCTTAATATGCTGTTTTAATATTAATTCTTTAAATTCAGCGTAACTTTTTATATCTTTCAAATATAATAATGCTCTTACAATGGAAGTTTTTTGGTCATGGACTATCTCCTTGTAAGCTTTTTGGATGATGAGAAAGTCGGGATCGCTTTCAATATAGAGTGCACTGGATTTAGCAAAAAGGTGGTCTATTAATAACTGCTTTGCAGATTCGAAAGTTATCTCTTTATAATTTATTATAATTTTTTGTTTTTTGAAATATTGTTCTACTTTAACTGAAATATTATCTGTTTTAACCATGATTACTTGTCGAGAGTAGTGATTTAGGGGCTTTTCCGTTAAAGGGATTAAGAATGAACTATCCTCTTCCGCACTATGTACAGTTGCACAAGTACTTCCTAACATTACTTCTTCGTGTTGTGATTGAATACGTGAAAGCGCATCGGCTACATAATTGGTTTTTCCTTGGATGTATTCTATTGTAAAATCGTATTCTGATAGGCGAATTTTCCACCTTTGGAGTTTCATGTTGGGATCTGGTATTGAGTGAAGCCAAACCAACGGCTTATGATCACTTAATACCTCGAAAGTCCTACCAAATAAATAGGGCCGAAAGTATTTTGTTGCCCAAACAATGGCCAATAATTCCCTCTCAATGGTGCTATAGTTTTGTTCGTGATCGTTTAGTGTTCGACTAGCGAAACAAATAGCTTTACCTTCTTGTGACAAAACAGCACCTATTGCTACACTACTAGCGTCAGTTGTGATTTGAAACAATTTTTTGAAATCAGGGCAAACAAGTATTGGGTCACTTGAAATTAGAATTTTTAATTTTTCAAAGGCCTGGAGATAAGCTTCGTTTCTTAAATCAATTTTATTTCCTTTTTTAAGACAATTGGTAATAGGTTTGGCAATTTGTGCGAAATTTGGGATAAATTTCCTATAGTAGCCGCATAATCCAAGAAATGATTTTATTTCTT